CTATACTTTGCAAGTTCTACTCCAGAGTGGGTAGGGGACTGACCCAAACCATCTTTAAGGCGGCTTTGTCACCCTATACTTACCATACTTTCATCTGTTCCTCTTCTCTTCCAAAATGAAGATCTTATCAATTCTGCATAGTATTTTAGTTGGGCAGAAGTCAACATTTTCACGGTTTCAAAATGCTCATCAGTGTTTCTTGGAGCCCACATCACAGTAAACCCTAATAATATTGTCTTTTTCTACATATTTGATCTTTAGCAGTCCCCAAACAAAGTCAAGTAAACCTATATGGCCTCAGGTGCATAATGTTTCCATTTAATTTGCATATGAACGCATATGAGTGGCTGATGAGTTGTCATAGATACAAATTGCTCACAAGGTGCCTAAAAATACACCAGGTAATATCAAGGGCCTACATATAATAAGCAGTTGGGTATTTAATGTGGTAGTAGGAAATAAATGCAAGAGTATTGGCCCTTGTTCCAGTCACTTGTAATATGCATCTGTTTAAGATGGCTACCAGGCTGTGTCCTGTCAGTCCCTTAGACCCTGCAAAACATTGCAGTTTTAGAGAAAATTCTGCAAAGCCCCCAGTAGGCGACAGTGCCACTTTAAAGCAGCTCTGTCAGTTTTGTTTTAATATGTTAGTATGTCAATAATCCCTTCAGGTCAACAAAAGTTGACAAAGGGTGGAGCTTTAGTCAAGCTCCACGGCCTTTGTTAGCTATGTCATTGGCCATCCTGTCCTTTACTCAAATCCATGCACGTCATGGATTCTCTCTGTTGACTCTCGTGTGCTCACGAGAGTCAACCCATATCCATAGAAAGCTACTGAAGGTCCTGGACATGTGCGTAATTTCATGTTCATGTCCAAGGAAGGGCAGAAGTTGGATTTTCCTTGCCGCAACCATCTTATAAACTTTCAAATGATGACACTGTGATTGGCACAAACATAAAAACTGTTATTTATGCTGGTTCTAGCTCTAAAAAAAGGCTGTGGGGGAAGAGGTGAGGAGTTAGAGGGAAGTCAGGGCCTGATGCCGTATTTAGTAACAGAGCTGCTCTAAGCAAAATAAGCATACAAATAAATTTTAGTGTAGTGATTTATTTTACATTATGTGTCACGAAAAGCAAAATGCTGCAGATTTAATTTTCTCTATAGAGGAATACAAAATCATTTATTTTCTTTTATGTTTTAAATTAAGGTCAAATTTGCACTTCCTGACCTGGTGATGAACAATTCAACAGCATGGATATAAGTGGGTGTTTAATTATCTAACAGGTATAACCTATTTATAAGCTGCGACTTTCAGTAGCACAATGTGACCAGAACTGTGGGAGAGAATACTAGCTGTTGCTAATGTGTAAGGAATACAGCCAGTGGGGGAGGGAAGGGAAAAGGACAAAGGATATAAGAGGGGGGAGGGGGAGGGCACAAATGAAACCAGGGAAAGGAAGGATGACTGTAATGACAATTTTCCAGAATAAAATTAAGGCAACTGTGTATTTCTATAGTATATTCTTGTTTTTTTTTTGGAATTGTATGTTATCTGTTTGTCGAACATTGTTTTGTGTTTTAATGAAATAAAAAAGACAAAAAACAAAAACATGTGGTTACACTGTTTAAGGATAGAATATATAAACAAACCATTATGTAGTGTACATACACCATTTAGTGGTTTGAGAAGTTGTTTTTTATATATTTATTTATATACAATAGCGGCAGTTTAAAAATAATGGCATTCTTCATTGCTTTTTCTTAAATTGGGTTCTACAATAGAGTTTCCTTCCTCAGTACTCCTTTCCATGATGATTGGAAGATTTCTAATTAAAACATTAAATGAGTATTTTAAAATTTAAAGAAGCTCTGTCACCTTTAAGGATTTCTTTCATTTTTTAAAAAAGATCCCAGATGGTGACTTTGTAGACTGGCTGCAAGGTCTGATCTGCCCTTACAGCCGCTGCCTTCATCCTACTTTGTCTCAGTATATCTTTTAACTGAGTTGGAATTTCAGTGAAATTCCAACACAGTCAATATGAGTATCTCGGAAAGATTTTATCTTTATGATATACTGAAATATTTAAGCAATGCCTATGGTGCCGAATAGAAATTTGGGATATCAGGGAGGCTTGGACCCAGAGCATAAGACGCCCAAAGTACGTTACAGTTTTCTTTAACACTCCTCACTGCAACAGGCTAATTAAAGTGCATATAATGCAACACCAGATGAGCATACAGCCCTGAGTTCAGTGGTTTAGAAGCCCAAAATCAGTTTACATGTTCTCACAGATGAGCTAGGTGATTCCAGGAAATTAGAACTGACACATGCACTTCATGGCTGTGAACATTATAACTGCTCTCCACTGCACCCCCTCTCATTCAAGGACTATACTTGCTAATGGTGGCAAGTATGCGGCCCAGCTGTGCCCATCATTTTCAGCAGTATACTTATTCATGCTGTTGGCATGCAGAAATCTGATCTGTATTTGAAGGAACACTCCCACCCCCATTGCAACTACAGCTCATTGAAGTTGTTATGGGGCAGGACTGCTTGAGACCAATGTTACCCTCAGGGGTTAAGCCAGTTTTATTATTTAACCCCGGATTTGTGGCTCTGGCACCCTATACTACTTCCCCACACCCAGCTCCTTTATTTTCTGCTTTTGCAGAATGACTGTGTTCGGATGTACTATTTCTCTCAGGGGTAAGGGAAGTGAAAGGCTGAGAGTGTCAACTTTGGTGATAAACTGTTGCAAATCGGTTTCATCCCTGAAAGTGCCCAGAACTGCACAGCAAAAAAAACTTCAATGGCCATACATTATTATGTTCCTTTAACACAATGTTTGAGTGATTTGCCACTGCAAGCAGAAAACAAATAAACAGTAAAATGTAAAACATATTTTTTCTTAAATCTATTTCGATGTAGATTGAAATCTCCTTTTATGTGTACTTTATGATATTCTTAAATAACAACTGGCTTATCAGTGGTTTGGGTTTGTTTGTATTTCTGCAAACAGGTCTGTTTGACCTTATGCCTTTCTTTTGTATTCTAATTGTTGGAAGTATCCAAATGTAATTATGTTCAACCAGCTTTTTGTTTGCTGGACACGGTGTTATACATAGAAACGAATTAGGAGCAATTCAGTAAATATACATGAACTCACCATAAACACAACAATTCACTATTTATGAGACACACTCACTCTAAGCCAGTTGCCCACCATGAGCATTATACAACACTGTTAGGGGATACAGCTGGAATGTAATAGGGAAAAATACACAACATAGTGTAACACAGTAAAAATGTGCAATTCAATGCCAGAAATTATTATACTCACAAAAGACTAACGTGTATCTTCACGTAAAAGTGCCTCACCCAATCTTTGGGGGGCTGGTACTAGTAACACACCCACACATTCAAATTCTGCCTCTGGAGTGTTATCATTAATACAGCTTCTAATAATAAAAGTAATAAAAGTATACGGCAAAAATGTATTTATTCAAAATAAATATTTAAAAAACAAATAAGATTAAAGTTCCAACACATTTCCACCCAAAAGTGACTTCATCCGGGACCAAATACAACATTTATGTGGTGCCTGTGGAAGTCTACGAGTGCTATAATTTCTGGCGTTAAATTGCGCAGGTTTACCGTGTTACACAAAGTTATGTCTTTTTTCCTGTTAGATTCCAGCTGTGTCCCCAAACAGTGTTGAGTTATTTATTAAACCAGGAATTGTCAGTAACTGGCCAGACACTTGCAAATTTTAGGCCAAAATAGAGAAAGTGTAAAATAGAAGTACTCCATCTCGGCTATTATCAGAGTTCTGTAATTTTGGTAGACATTGTGAAATTCCCTTATCAATACCCAAGTTTAATTTAAAAAGAAGTGATTCTATGTACCTGGGTAGATGTGTATAAACAGCAAGCACGCATGTGTGTATGGCCCCAATAGGCTGCTTATAATTTTCCCAGTTATGCATTACATTATAAGGAACGTTTAAGAACAATGAATAAAACAGATGGTGGGCAGGATCACAGGAGACAGCCATTTACGTGATCTGCACATCTTCAAGGACTCCATACACTGAAGGAGGGAAATTATTAATTAATAATCCTTTGGGATCCTACTTTCATTAAGGATTTGATTTCAATTCGACTACAGTCACAGCAGGGCCATTTTAGCCTATTTTCCATTTGAATTTAATCAGTTTTTAGTGAATATCCCTGCATGTGCAAAAGCAAAACGATTTGCACATGAACAGTCTGAAACCACAATTATAGATAATCTGAAGACGTCTCTTAAATGCTTTGATACTGTAAATATAGGACTTTGTTTTTCCTCCCTTTGTTAATTAAAATGTCAATAAGGATTGTATGGGGCATGGGTGTTGGCTTTCTACATACAATACTAACTGAATGTATATTAAACTGAGGGTTCTAGAAAAAAATTACAAGTAAATGAAAATGTATTTAAAATTAAAATGCATAATTATTGGGTTTATGGTGTATCTATGATGTTTTTACACAACTATATGAAATATTTTATATATACAGTATATATATATATATATAATAGCATAATAATAATATATATATTTTTTTTCCTCTTGAATGCACTATCTGAACAATAATAGCTTATATTAGCCAAAGCAAATCATTGTGTTTTATATCTAAAGAAATCTCCTACAGCACACTGGCCGCCATTTTGTGTTTGCTATCTCCACGTAGCATTCGCTT